GCAAATGTATCCAATATTTTCCCTTCTATCTCTTTAATGACTGGCTTGAGAGAAGTCAGCCATATTCCCTTCCTTCCATTCTTCCATTCTTCTTCCTTCCTTCCTCTCTTCCTTTTTTTTTTTTTTTTGAGAGTACATTTATTAAAGCCTATGGCAATGACAGGAAGAAGGACTTAAGACAGCAGAAGCCACAGGAGAGAGCCCAGGCAGGGATCAGCTGGCTCACTGGGAAGTTAGGGCAGAGGGGGGCTTGGAGGCAGGTTCAGCGGGGTAGCCCAGGGCGAGCAGTGCTGCCCAGTGCTCCCCTGGCTGCAAGTCTCTTGGGGCCCTTAGAGTGAAGGAGATGCGCACCTGAGAGGGAAGGAGAGGGGAAGGGAAAGGCACGAGTGCACTGCTGGGGTGGAGAGGGCACCGTCAGCTGTATTCTTACATTTGCTTTTTCTTCAGTCTGTTGAGATATGTTATTTTCATCAAAGTATGTAAAGAAAATTTAGCTTCACAAAGATGTATCAGTGGAGAAGGGAGGAGTATTCTAGTAGCCTTTTTAGAATCGTGAACATTATTCTTTGACCCTAAACCTAAACTCTAGGAGAGAGTTTCTTAAAGGTTAGCTGAACTATAGAATCTGAAACTGTATCAGTGAACTTTTCACGCTCTGCTACCCTAAAGTCCACCGGCTTATCGTGTACTTTGAGTGGGTCGTTTACCCATGCATGGCATGATTCTATAACACCATGAATTGGTCATTTGGAAAATACTGGTTTACTGAAATGTGAAAATCTTCCAAATATTGACATATTTCATTATACAATGTGAAAAAGTCACAGTTATGAATGTCACAACTAATGTCATCAGAAAAGCCTTTAATTATTGGCAAGCTGTCAAGCTCATGGTAGAGTTCGAGCTCTTAAAAATTTTAACTTTTCCTTGAAAGCTCAAATTTTATTATTGGAAACAAATACTATCAGCCATATTCTTTGAAGTGACGTCCTTCATTTCCAGAAAGCATCTGCCAAACACACAGTCTGAATCACTTTAGTTTGTTTGTTGGTCATTTGTAAAAGCGGCGTTCTATGACAAAGTGTAGTTCAGTCTAACTCAGACAGTCACACAGTGACTTTCCTGGAGACCAGCACCACAAGGTGGTGCACAGCAAGACTGCTTTGGGCACACTTACCACTCATCCCAGAGAATACCAAGAAGATACCTGCAAGAGTCAAAAACATCATAAAGTCAATATTTTTCTGCTTCCTCAAGTACATTCTTAAGGAAAACCAGCTCTTAAAAAAAAAAGAAAGAAAGAAAGACCCTTGAGTGCCTGGCAATGAAAAATGCTATGTGTACTGGTGCAGTTTTGTGCCGCTGCCTTATTTTGCACTGAGGTGCCCGCAGTTCACCCTTTTTTTCACCCACTGACGTTTCATCATTAGCGCAAGTGCCAGTGCAGTGACGAAGGCAAAAATATTAGAATTATTATGAAACCAGTTACAGCCTTCCAGACCTCTGAAAGAGTCTTAGGGCCCCCCGGACATCTAGGACCTCACTTGGAGATGTGCTGCTCTAGCAGGTGACGTGTCCCAGCGGAGACAGTGCTGGACAGAGTAGATTCATCTTGCGTTCCCCAGGCCCGCCCCAGCCTCTCCTTCCTTGGGCAATTTGGGGAAACACCAGGGGCGTCGGGATCCTGCCTAGGGTCTGGGTTTAGGCTGGAGTCGGTGCTGAGCAGTTTCTGAGGCCACGCTCGGAGGCTGTCCCCAGGGAACTGAAGGTGTTCGAGTGATTCTGGGGAGTGCCAAGGCCTTCGAGGGTCCCAGGAGTCTTAGCAGCTCCAGACAAAATCTTAGCTTCTGCTTCTTCCTCCTCTCCCACCTCCTCGTGCCCAGAGGAGGTCAAAATCCCTTTCAGAACCTGGAACCATCCTGCAGACCAAGTTTAGGTTAAAGGATACCCAGACTAGAGGGAGGCCCCTGGAACTGACAGACTGGACCAGGCCCCCGAGTGCCACTCTCCAGTGGTAGGTCGTTCTGCCCCATCAGAACTCTGCTGCTAAAAATCCCAGGGTGAACACACCGGCATGCTGGCGTACCCAACATAATGGAGCAACAAACCCAGCTTCGAACTGCACGCCTAGGAGTGGGGAAAGTGCTATTAGAAGATGTTCATGTTGTATAGAAGGCACAGTTCTTTCTCAGGGCCACAGAGTTTAGTCTCTGAGCAGCATGAGGTACGACGTTTAAATACAGTAAGACAGCAAGTGCTGTATGTAACACCAGGAATTTTAACACCTCCTGCAGTGTTTCAAGTGAAACATCAAACTTATGGCCACAGTAAAAATGAACATAAAGGCATACCTGAAGTGGGGGAATCCATGTGGCCTCTTAATAGATTTGTTCAGATTTCAGAGGGAACAGGACAGATTGTCTTTGGGATAAGAGGGAAGTGAGGAAAAGCAGGTGGGGAGGCCAAGGAAAAGGACTAGAGGAGACGAAGACCAAACGGGTTATGAGCACGTGGCAGAAAATGCACAGGTGGCTATTGATTTGGGCAACAGGCCGGTCCCTGGAGTGAGCAGGCTGCAGCGGGCCTGTGCAGGGAAGAGGGCAGCTCGGGCAAGAGGCGGGGACTCGGGCTGGGACCGGTGCTGCTATTGCCAGCTGTGTGCTCTTGGGCAGCCTGTCTGAGCCCATTCCTTCTCTGTCTGACTAAATTAAATGAGAGATCCCATATCAGAAAAGGCAAAGCAACCCTAAACTCTCTTGTACTGCCCCCCACTTGTACTTGGAGTATGTAATCCACTCAGGCCCTTATTCGGATTCTACTGTGTCTTCACTTTTTCCATCAAAATGCAACTATGTTCCTTAACAGTGTGCACTGGATTCCATGCTGAGGGGTGTAGAGAAGGATGCTCTGGTGGCACAGACCAGAGATCCCCAGCCTCGGGGCCGTGTACCAGTCCTGGTCCAGGCCACACAGCAGGAGATGACCTGGAATGTGATGTGCTTGAATCATCCCGAAATAATCCACCCTCCCCACCCCGGTCCATGGAAACACTGCCTTCCACAAAACCAGTCCCTGGTACCAAAAGGGTTGGGGACCTCTGCCCTAGACAGCAGCTGACCTGCACACAAATACGTGACCCGAGAGAGGCACTAGAAAGGGAAGACTTCTAGGAAGTGATACTTATCTCTCCAGTCATGCAGGTTTGTCACTTTGGAGATGTGCCCTATTGGTTTGCCTAAAGAAAGACTCCCGGGGACAGCAGTAGCCAGGAGGTGGGTTATAGGGGTCAAGTGAGATAGACTCTAAAAACAGGGTAAGAGGCGGACCAGCCCTGAGGGAGGAAGGAAGGCGATAAGAAGAGCCATCTGAGAAGAAACTGTGCCGCAGTTGGCAGAGAGACTCGATTAGACCAAGTTGGAACTGTAGGGCCCCGAAAAGAGGCCCATTTGAGGCAGGGAGTGGGTCGACGCGTGCGTGGCAGCACAGAAACCCGGGCCCGTTGAGAAAGCTGAGCTTCGGTCCCAGGGCCCCGGGCCCTCCGGCCAGGTGTTAAATCTTTCTGCATCTCAGGTCTCACTTGAGTGGAATCTGTATGATAAGATCCCCTGTTTTATTTCCCTCACCGGGTTGTTTGACGTGCTGCCTCAGATAATACTCAAAATAGGACGATGAGAATAGATACTCTTTACCACCACATCCCTACCAAGGCAGAAAATGAAGGAGAGGAGGAAGGCAAAAAAGAGAATGAGAAAAAAGAGGAGGAGAGGCCAGGTTGAGACTAGAAGGCAGGAGCAAAAAATGTAAAAGCAAAGGAGACGGCAGCCAGGGCTGGAGGCCAGGGAGGCCCCTCACCACGCCCGAGAGGCAGATAAACGGCCATCTAGGGTCCCACCCAAGCCAGATTAGTCCATCGGACTTAAATGAAGTGCAGGCAATTGCCCTGAGTCACAGCACTGAGCAGAGGCATCTGTAAATGGGGAAACTGAACACAAGATGGGACCCACATAACATAAGGTAGGAGGGCCAAAAAATATTGCGACAACCCTCGAAGACATTTTGAAAAGGTAAAGAGCTGCCCTGTGCCATTTTCCAGGCTCTCAGGTTGGCAGAGCTGTCCGTTCTTTGGAATATTTTCCCCGGAAAGGGGTGGGGACAAGAGAATAGGCTTTCTTACTCGCCTAACCTGACCTTGGGCATGATTCTGAAGCCAAAGTCAATTCTTCCTTCTCTAGATGGCCTCGGTCTCCTTTTAGTGAGTAGGTTTGACTATTGCTAAATAATTCTACTTTTTAAAAAATTTCTCAGACTGTCCTACTCACAGTAGGGCAGCTACACCCCGGGCTTTGGACCCCGGAAGTCTCCATATGAGGTTCCTGTCAATCCAGGTAGGCGGCTCTTTATTTTGTTAACCCCGGTGGTACCAAGAGGCACCTGACATTCTGGGTATGCTAATAATTCGGTGCCAGCAAGTTTCTGTTATCCTCCAGTTGTAATTGTTAACTTGAATGGAATGCAAAACTTCTGGTTTGAAGCAGAGTTGGTTTTTAACTGTGTACTTGCTTGAAGGATCTGGAAAATGGGGAGTACGTTTCGTTTACTGTGGAAGACGGTTTATGAAAGCTCTCCTTGCCCTGATAAATAGAAATATATGGTAAATGCATAGTTACTCCTGGGTCTATAGACTCACCGGTGAACTCTGCCCTTTATTAACTCTTGCTTCGACACTTTCAGGTCGGCGAGCCCAGACTTGCTCAGGGAGTAGAACAATGAGTTTTATCATAAGGCAGCTTTAAGAAAAAAACAAAACTGACACCACAAACCCCTTAACACTGCTGGTGTCAGAGTTTACTTCTTCGAGCCCTTTCTGCTTGCTTCCCCCCACCCCTTGAAAGTTTGGGTGGTGTTTTTTTCTTCTGTGTTAATGGAGCCCGCCTGTTCATTTGCATTATTGCACATCACACGCTATCTTTGTGACCATTATATTGTGTTCTCTCAGTGGTGTTTGCTCTGAGGGTGGGACACAGGGCTGTTCAGTGTCTTGTAAAACATTTACCAAAAGCACTGAGCCATGGTTTTGAAGGGCATTCCCTTGCCAGACTGTGGGAGGAGAGAGCGAGCAGTGGAAAGAGAGCTCCAGGTGTTTGCCAGGTACTTGTTTTGTACTTTAGTATTTGGAACCGTTTAAAATTTCAGATTCCGTGGGATTCCAGGCCCCTGCTATGGAAGGGGTGGGAATGGTAACGGGAGGGGGGAGGTGAAAGCAATTTCTTTGCAAAGTGTGTTTTTCAGTGGCTCTGAGTCCCCAGATAATTGTGATCTTTGGTTTCCGTCGAGTGTTGTTTTCAGTTTTACTAGAGGGACGTGCGTGTCACGGAGAGTGAAGCAGAATCTACCTGTGCTTGAGGTTTGCCCATGGTTCGGATCAGACGTTTGCTCTTGCTTTAGCACAGAACCAGGACCAAGTGCGGGGTTTCTGGGAGGCGACGTGTAACCTCCCGATTCGCACTTGAGTGTGCAGTGTGCCCGGTGACTCATTCCATGGAGGGCTTTTGCTGAATGGTGGCTCTGGTTCTGTGAAAACACTTCCAAACTTTCTTTCCTCCCCCGCCCCCATCCCCATTCTGTTAAACTTCGCTGGATAACAGAGTAAAGGTCAGTGTGAAAGACTGCTTCTTACCTTCAAATCTCTGTTTCTGGAACGCATTCAGTCGGTAGGAATGACTAGACTCTTCTCATAGATCGTTTTAGAGAAACTAATGACTAAATATGTCTTGGACATACTAAGTGCTTATTTTCTAGCTTGTTTTGTTGTAGAAAATATGAGCATATATGGTAAAACTAGAGCCTGGATCAAATGTTTGCCTTTGAGCAATTGTAGTCATGATATATATCCTGGACACAGATACCCCAGCCATGTTGTTAGTGACCAAAACCCAAACAGCAAATAGGAAAATCAAGAAAAAAGAGAGCAGCACCAGTAGCTGCCTTGTAATATATGCAGTACGGCAAACACGGAATCTTTGGTCTCTTGACTGCATCTGAGGGCAGGAGACATAAGAACAAAGACAGTACTGAAGTTCGAGAGCCCATTGATTATGAAAGAACTTGACTTTGGCACGTTTTTGCCCAGTGACATTGGCAGTAAGAAGCCAACAGTCTTTCTCCTGACGAGTCCCCAGTCATTGCAAAATGGCTGGAAGAAATGATTGTTTTAAAATGAGAAGAAACTTCCTTCTTGGGAAAAACTTCACTGCGGCTGTGTGTATTTAGGCAAATTGGACTAAATCTAACAAACTGTGAAGGTCAGAAGACATCAAATGCACCCAGAGGACAGCACGGTTGCTTACTTGTGTGTATGTGAATAGAAAATTGAGTTTGGCGGAGAGCCATTTCACTACCCCGACCACCGGAAGTTTGTCACTGCGGACAAGGAAATTAACTTTTTCTTTCCTCTAAGAGTTTGGAACAGAGGTGAAAATACGTGCTTTCTACTAAGTGCACTCCATAGATACACACAGATTGCTTCATCTTCCCACCTTCTGTGGAGCCACTTACATTCAATACAGACTCAGGACCAGGAAGGGGCTCATGCATCAATTCCACTGTCTCTAAAAGAGATCAGTGCTGTTAGAAGTTGGAAATTTTACCAGAAGAACAGAAAGTCTCTGAAAAAGTGTCTAAAAATAAACCACTTCCAGATACTTGTCATTCCTCAGTTCCCTTTATTTGACTGAGAAAAAAATACCTTATTCAGCGCCATTTCTTTGTTTAGCTTTTTCAAATTTCAAGGCTCAAAGATCTATATGGAATTGTAAGAAACTGAGATCACCAAAAGCTGCATTTATACCTCTTGCTAGGGGCTCTTACAGTTACATGACGGGTGGTTGGGAGATGGATTCGCATTATCAAATTAAGCCCTAAATAACTTGGCCCATATCTCTGGCATTTTAAATTTTGCTACTATTACATATGATATGGTGGTAAGGTTTCTCTATCAGGCTGGTTTTGTAAGGCATATAAGTGAGTCAAGTCTCTCCACAAAGGTGGTTGTTATTTTCTGTCCTTTAGACTGTGAGCTCTCGTTTCGTAATATGTCATGAAGGTGAGCTCTCTAGGGACAATAATGGGCCCCAAATTACGTGGCAGTTTGCAATGTGCATTAATGCCCAAGGAGTCAAGGTGGTTTGGGCCTGGACAGAACTGTCACGCATGGGCGTGGACGGGTGGCAGTCTTTCCAGGTGATTTTGGTGACTGTGCCAGGGGCGTCACACTCGTGTGAGCTTGGGTCAGAACTAGGAAAGCAACATGGAGGAATCGTCATAAAGACTTGGACTCTTTGGGCTGGTTTTGTTTGGGTCAGATGACTGTGTATAGGTTGGCCGAGCAACAGCTAAAATCCCTTCACTTGCCTAGTAAATTAAGGTCTTAAGACACAAAGCAGTGCTCACAGCCTCTGAAACTAATGCCAGTGAGTCCACCAGGGCCTCACTCGGTGCCAGTTGGCTCTCGGTTTAAACACCTTTGGATACAGTTCCAGGTTTCTCAGTGCACAGTAAAGCAGAACTCATTTCCTCTTCGTTAGCTAATGATCATTCATTCATTCATGATTCATTTATTCACCCAGTACTTAGCTCTCACTCTGGGCTAGGTCTCATCTCTCAGTTCTTAAATGTCGCTTCCTTCAAGGTGACCTTCCCAAACCCTCTAAATTAGGTCCAATATTTCCCCTTTACAGATATCACACTTGTTTTTTTATTGTATCTCATTCATCACTATATTTCCAGTGCTTAGCACATATTAGGCATTCAAACAATGTGCACCAAATATATGAATAAATGAATGAAAGTAAGTAAATGAGAAAGACTGGGATGGTTAGAGGCAGGCACGCAGTAGTGAAAAATAGCGACAGATAACAGGGAAGGGGCAAAAACTGTGTCACCCAGGACAGGAGCAGTGGCCTTTGAGGCTGTCACTCCATCTCAGCCCGGCTCAACCACGTGTCTTTCTGAGGGTAACCTTGGTTCGCCAGGAAGAATGTGCTCAATAGCATCTGTTTAAAATGATAGTGAGGACTACAAATCATTTTAAAGATTTTTATCCAAGAAAGCAATAGGTTTTTTTTTACTTAAATGGTTAAATTTAATTATTTAGAAAATTTTATATATGACTAATGGTTATTCTTATCATTATGAGGTACCTGTGAATACGTTTCTCACTCATGTAAACATAAAAAGAGACTGAAGAATGCATAAGAGAAAAACCTCATGTAATAAGATTAAGTTAAATAAGTACTTTAAAAATGTTATTTTGAACATTATATATTGAGGTGTAAAGGCAAGAAAATGCACAGCTCTTGAGTGTACAGCTTGATGAATTTTCACATGCGTATACACCTGCGTAACTGCCACTCAGATCAAGGTACGGGACATTGTCAGTGTCCCAGAAAGCTCCCCTGTGCCTCTCCTCCCTGTTGCACACACGCACACATGCCCATCACAGGTGGCTTCTATCACCGTAGATCAGCTCTGGCTGTTCTCGAACTTCATAAAAATGGAATCATACAGTATGCGTTCCTTGTATCTGGGAAAGGTACAATGTCTGAGATGTTCACCCACATTGTTTCATGTACCTGTAATTTATTCTTTCATCGCTGCATAGTATTCCTTTGTAAGAACAGACCACAATTTAATAAATTTGGGAGGAATTAAAAACATGAGTATATGAGCTGAAAATCATTCCCTGTGCCAGTTCTTCCAAGTTAAATGATCTCATAAAGGGTGGGATGGGAATGTTAGCCCCCGAAAGGGTAGCAGGAGAGCAGTCTGTTTCCGGGAGTGCATTTTCTAAGTGCTCTACATGGCCTGTTCACTTAAACTGGAACCACTGCCCATGGAGGTGATTGCCACTGTTTTGCAGTTGAAGAAACTAAGCCTGAGAAAAGACTCATGACTTCACAACTGGGCCGAACTAAACACACAAGTTGCTGGTTACAGCAGACAGAGATCTAGTCCTGGCAAAGACAATGCCAAGTGGCTGTTGAGGCCGTGCGTGCCACCTGGTTAACGCAGACTGGACTGGAATGCAGCAGTGCAGGCTTGTCTCTCTCACTGTCCAAAGCCTGACATTGACCTGACAGTTCTTAGGTCATTGCTCTCTCTTTCCCTCCAAAGTGCGTCTTATGTTGAAAAGAAGGCTGTTTGTGCATTTTATATTCTTACCTTTATGAATAAATTTTTTGCTTACGAATCATTTATTTGCAGATGCACATGGTATATTCTAAACTTTGTATTTAGCAACTTTTGAGGTTTCTCTTTTTAAAGATCAGGTTGCAGTATCTGTACATCAAGAAATATTCCGTCACCATAAGAAAGACAGGTGAATTTCAAGTCAGAGTTGCTGGGAAATTTTCTGGGAGGAGAACGTCAGGCGTCAGGTCTTTCTTTTTTTTTAATATATTTTATTGATTATGCCATTACAGTTCTATTTCCCCCCTTCATTCCCCTCCACCCTGCACATCCCTCCCCCACCATTCCCCCCTTTAGTTTATGATCATGTGTCTCAAATTCTTTAGGTTCTGTATTTCCCATACTATTCTTGCCCCCCCCCCATCTATTTTCTATCTACTGTCTATGCTACTTATTTTCTGTACCTTCTCCCCCCTTCTCCTTCTCCCACTCCCCTGTTGCTAACCCTCCATGTGATCTTCATTTCTATGGTTCTGCTCCTGATCTAGCTGTTCTCTGAGTTTGTTTTTGTTTTAGGTATGGTTCTTAGTAACTGTGAGTTTGCTGTCCTTTCACTGTTCATCTTTTTTATCTTCTTTTTCTTAGGTAAATCCCTTTAACATTTCATATAGTAAGGGCTTGGTGATGATGAACTCCTTGAATTTGATCTTATCTGAGAAGCACTTTATCTGCCCTTCCATTCTAAATGAAAGCTTTGCTGGATAGATCAATCTTGGATCACACCAAGGCACATCATAATTACATTAGCCAAGATTAAAATGAAAGAGAGGTCTTTCAAAGTGGGTTTTGAAACCCTTCCGGTTCCAACTCACAGAGGCTCCGCCTACTGACCCAGTGGGCGTCCAAGTCTCTGATTCAACTGAACGTCTCAGAAATGAACAAAGTATTGAAATGCCCTTTTT